CAGTGGACCAATCAGGATCCCGGCTAAGGAGCATCCCAGAAGAGCGATGGTGCAGCTGATGAGGACCGCCACGGGGAACTCCACTATAAGCTGGGAGTAGCTGCCAAGCAATGGGGGGGGGGGGCGTGCATGATTTTATTAGAGAGATGCAATTACAGAACTGACAGCTTAATGGCTTCCACATTGCGGCTGCGAGATGAGTGTCAGGTCTTTTTCCCCCCTTTCTTCCCCAAGCAGACACGTGTTTTGGAAAAAGCAGCGTTTTCTGCGACTTAAATTCATTTCAGCCTGCTCGCTGGCAACCGGAGAGCTTTCCGGAATAACGACTGGGCATGTGTTCTTCGGAGGATGAACTATGCAGCTCAGAATTTTAAATGGGTTCAGTTCAGCTAAAGCTCATATGACTCTTTTTGAGTCTAAACACAGAACATATGTGATAGTGCCTCATGAAGAAGATGATTGACATGTTTGTTGTGTGAAACACTGACCTTCTTGGAATCCTGCATATCCCTTCGTGGCTAAAATGAAACAACAGGCATGAACACGATTAGTTTGTTACGTTAATCTTTGCTTACTTTCCAGTGTTAATTGTGTACAATAGATGTAGGTCATGCGCAGGATACATTTTGCACCTGACTGTTACTACATGGTGTTGCAGCGGGTGGTGAGCGCCGCCTTCATGTGATCCCTGCAGCCAATGGCAGTGCACGGTGTCGTGGCAGGAGGGCACGTGGGAGGGGCTGCAGCCACGGGCAGTCCTGGTGGTGTCTGAGGAGCAGTCAGGGTGGGGGCTGCCTGTCATGGAATGCAGGCTGGGACAGGGGCTGCCTGGGTCTTTCTGCCGGTGCCCGCAACAGCGGCACCGCTTTGGATGGGGAGAGAGGTGGGAGCAGTCCGGGGACACCTGGTGGTACAGCTGGGACGAGGAGGACATCCTCACCAGGCTGCAGCTACTGGAACGGAGCCCCTCTGTCTGTAAGAGTGTCACTCTGGGTTCCATAGCTGGGCTGTCCGGAGGGCACAGTGACACCTCTGGTATTTCACTGTAACTGCACACAAAAACAGACACATACCGAACATTTTAACATGTAGAGCGGTACCTCAGAACTCCGGATCGAGTTGTGATCGAATTTTCCCCATAAGAAATAATGGAAAACCAATGAATTGGTTCCCGGCCCCAAAAAATTACACCTAAATATGTTTTTTAAACACAAAATGAACCGGATAAAACAAGAAGAGCATATACTGTACTAAACACATTTATCAAAACAGTAATTTGTACAGTAAGAAAATAAATGTATCAAAACAATGTGTCCTGCCCCAATCGTCGACTCCTTCCATGTACCACGCCCCCTCGTTAACCCCGTGTGGAATCCCCATGTGATCAGCTGTTTCTGGTTGTTGTCATTAGTCCTCTGTATTTCGCCGGCGTTTCAGTTTGTTTCCCCAGTCCGGTCATTGGCATCCTACACAAGGTGTTCCATCCATCAGTGTTTCTCAACCGCTGGGTCAGTTTTCAGTGGGTTATCAACAGAGGTGGAAAGTTCAACCAACCAGTTGCATACTCTTTATACTCAACTGATCAGTTGAAACAAAACATTGGTCTGGACTTGGACTTTCTGGACCTGAACTCCCCCCCCCCGCCCCAGTCAATAACTTTTACTGTAAGTTTGGGTCGGGACCTTCTGACCAAGGAATAACGTGGGTCTTAGGGCTAAAGCAATAGCCCAGTCTGTGGTTCGTGGGATTAACTCCATACCCATTGCGGGGATTTACAGATGGTGCATCTTTGCCTCTCATCCCGAAAGCTCATGTTTCTCAGGATGCACATTGGAATGTAACAAGTTAAAAAAGCCATAAATTACTTCAAAAAAAAAATAAAAAATTAAAAATCCGGAAGCGCATTTGCTCATGCTAGGATAACATTTCGCCCGTTGATTACGAAACCTGCTTACTGAAACAAATTACAAGTGCGCAATACAGGTCAGATGACAGCAATGGAACAGGAGAAGCATATTTAAGTGGCATTTAAGAAAAATCTGGTTCCAGGTTTGACATTTAGGTAACACTTCAGATGAAAAGCTAATACTGAATATGTTGTCTAACTGCCTTGGTTTATTGTTAATAACCCATCACATATAAATAAACCTTCATTACTTTTAATGGGATATATTCAGTAATTAAGCAGTACTGCTAATAATAAACAGCTAGAGAATGTTATTATTGTCAGAAGGGGTCATCTGTCTTCCATGACCGTTTGCACAGTACAGAGTCACAGTGAACATGGAGCCTGTCCCAGAAACATGGGGTATGAGACAGGGGACAGTCTGGATGGGAAGCCAGTCTACCTGTATGGTCTGCAGAAAGAAGCTGGGGTACCCACAGCAAAGTGGCACAAGAAGAACATCGAAACTCTGCACAAAGAATGGGGATCGCATTTAAATTCCCAAACTGCGAGAGCTCAAGGTTACTGTGTCACACAGACATCATGGATGCCATGAAATTTAGTTATCTGCTAAATCAGACAGAATTCGTAATTAGCATTAGGTCAAGAAGACACATTGAAAACAAATCTAAGCATATGATTGGAGCTAAGAATTCCAAATTGCAGCTTAAATTCTAGCATGAATGCATGCCAGGAGTTACGGAGGCCAAAGCAATGGACTTTTAATTAAACGCTGTTTGTTTAGGACCTACGAGGGGCACTGCTGTAGTTCCAAGGGACTTGTAACAAAGAACGACCAGCTGAACAGAGGGATAAAACTGTAAGCAGCTTCAGGTAACAGCACTGGCTAAGCTGTGGACAAAAGTCATTTCATTCACTGCTCATGACTGGATGTTCTACAGCAGAAAATGTAATCGCTATTGTAAAAGGGGAGGTATATATGGGTGGGGGTATCTCAGCAGGATTGCCTCATATATGTCCTCAGGCTCCACTTCTACCTTCCAGTTCCAGGTGACTTGCAGTGTGTAAACATTGTAATATGCTTTCAGGGGGCAGTTTCTGGGTATTGGTTATAATGTTATAAAAGGCTGCCTTTTCTTGCATGAAAAAATATGGCAGAGTCAAAATATGGAAAATTAGTGTAATTGAAATGTTTTCTTTATCACTGTATCAGCATTTTGTCAAGTTTTGGCAGTAGTTCCTCGCATTTAGGACACCAGCATTACCTAATGGCTGAATCTTATAATCTTTTTTTACTTCAGTATAAAACGGTGCAATTCTGTCCAGCCACTCAGAAAATCCTGAAACCTATATGAGAATAAAATGTGGTTGTAATTACATAGTATATGTTGCCTAAAATGTATACAGCAGCTGTTTAAAACATCTGTGACAATTAATTAGAATTTCCATAATGGTCCATCAATCATATCTGCCTGCTGTCGTAGCGATAGTAGCTGGCAGGTCAATAAAAGAATTTATTCAGTTGTTTCCAACCCTGGAGGCTACAGGATTGCTTTTAGATGGGGCTGAGTGGGCTCACAATGGCCTCCCCATCTCCTAGGCGACAGGGCAGGTAAACAATGGAAGAGAATGCCTTTGAAGACCAGCACCGATGCATTATTTGCATTCCTGAAAGAAGAGCTAATTAATCATAGCCCCAGTTATTTGCCGCCGTGCATTTGAAAGTGGGTGCCTTTTAACAGAGATATAATTCTTCAAAACTGTAAAACGCAAATGTACAAGGTACCAAATGAGATCTAAAGTTCTGGTGCCACTGGACCGTAACACAAGTGATCATCTCAGGCAACAGACATCCCAGGGCTGGACGTCCATCTGCATCCCAGAGGGATTGCTGCCTTCCAGACTTCCCTGTGAATATCATTTGATACCTTGGAGGCCAAAAACGAGATACTGGCCTAAAAAGAAGATGCCCGTCAGCTCCCTCATGCCCACTCACATTCACTGCCGCCCAAAATGTGGCTCCGCCGTGACAGGCAGGTTCAAGATGGTGACCGAGTGCCGTGTTCGCTATGCCTCCCTCTACAGCCCTGGGGCATGGTGAAGGTTCTCTGTGGCAGCAGAGATGGTGACCTCACTTGGCAGCGTCTCTCTCCTCACTCAGGGACACCGTACACAAGTGTCACATTCTCAGCGGGCTCTAACCAAACAGGAAATGCATCGCTGCAGCAGAGCGTGCTTTAAAGATACGTACGGTTGGAGTTCATTCCTGGCTTTTTGGTATTGTGGATGGAACCTGACAGGCACCAGAGCACATGGGTAGAAAGGTGGGGTTCAGTTTGAGGGTCCAGTCAAACCCCCCCCCCAGGCCAGGGGGACTGAGACAGTCACTTCCTGTATTTCTCCCAGTTACCAGAAAGATGGGGACTGCAGCCTTTAGCATGGGGTGTAGGGATTTACGTGGTTGAACCATGGACTCACATCCAGTTCCCCACGGCCTGTCAAATTTGCCCCCCCCCCCCTTTATTTCAGCCTTCTCCGGGGGGTGTTTTGAGGGGCCGCTGGGCGTGGTTACCGGCAGCTCCAGCGGGTGAGAGTGAGCAGCCTCGTAACGCCGCCGTGGCACGCGGAGGCAGACAGACGGCCTGACAGCTGTTTCTCTGCTCCCTGAACTGCACCACGAGCACTTCTCTCCGAGTTTTCAGCTAAATCATGTCTGCTGGCACAAACACCCACTGCTATTAACAACAAAAAAACAAAACAAAATGAAGACATCTGTCTCCGTTAGCCAGAATTCTACATACTCCCATTCTAAGCAGCTTCAATCAAGTATGAGCTCCATAAACTAACCCGAGTGCCTTGAAATGCTTGTCACACCTTATTTGGGAGCATCCATCTCTCTGTGACTGATTAGAGTCACACTGGGCCTGTTGTTCTTATTGATTATGTACCATTCCAACGACGACCAGAGCTGGACATTTCAGGACCAGTGAGTAACAATCCAGACTAAGATTTTATTTCAACCAACCAGTTGAGTACTGTGTGACTGTGACACTGGTTGGTTTAAACAAAATCCTGGTCTGGATTTGTACTTTCTGCACCAGAAATGTCCTCCTCTGCTGATGACACAGTCACATGAGAAACAGAGGAACAGCAGATTGTCGATAAACTGCAAAGTACTGCTTGTTTTATTCTTTTTCCATGAAAAAATACTGCAAAGAGAATCTATGGTACTCATCTACAGTCAAGCGAAAGCCTTCATTAAACCAACAGAAGACAGCAGGAGAAATGAATACTGTTTACCCAAAAGATGTAGCCGTATCTCTCGAGTATATCTCCTGTATTTCATGTGTTTTTGCTCGGCAGGCTGGGAAGCTAAAAACTCCATTAGGGGCCTTTGTTTGAGACAGCGGCGCTGCAGTGCTCCTGTAAATCCCAATCCGACAGGCTGAACCCAGACGGCCAGATGATGGAGGCGGAGGCAGGATTCTTCACACTGCAACGCGAGACCAGGAGCACAGTGTTACCCATCAACAGGGCTCCTCACACCCATAGAAATGCTCTTTAGCACTGGAGGGGAAGAGATATCGATTTCTGAGATTTGATTTGACTGTGGCAGTGTGCGAGGGCCACTGCTGAAGCGTCCGGATGGGAGCTGCGAGGGCATGTGTGCAGTGTGGGTACCACGTGGTTCACGTCCTGATATGAGTTCGAGTAAGTGCTTAGGTTAAACACACAGAGGCACTCCTCCATCCATCTTCTACTGACCCAGCACCGGATCACAGTGAACCTGCAGCCCACCCAGAGCGGCACAGGGTACGGGACGCCCAGTGCAGGATGCCAATCCAAGGAGCGATTTTGGGTAATCGAATCACAGGAAGCTGGAGCACCTAGAGGAAGGCCACAGGGATGCTGGGGAGAACATGCAAAGTGGCACACACACACATACGCACACAGAAACACATGTTTGCATTCACATGTTTGTGGGGAATCTATTCATTTCTATGGGAAAACCCTATTCCCACCCATGACAACCATAACCCTAACCCAGCCCTAAGTTTAAAAACAAAGCCAAACAAAACAGAAGCTTTTAGTTTTTCAGTTGCATTCATAGATTGTTATAAAATTGAGTAGGACTTAATAAAT